TGCAACAATTGTAATGGACTCTTTGGAAAATAAAAATCTAAGCAAAAATACATTTTTATGCAACTTCTTGCGGTTACCGGTTACATGCTTTTTGTGGTTAATTATTTTAAAAATAGTTTTGAAGAAAATTTACAAAAATAACTAGTGGTGTATGGCATCGTGTCTTAAGCAATTGCTGAAACTTCCCGCACCGTAATGAAATATTCGAGAAATTTTAAACGTTTTTCAAATATATTATTACAATACTGGTAACTTTCATTATTTTTGCTTATCTGTTATATCTGAGCAAATCAAATAAAACACAAAGTCAATTTATCTCCAGAACATAACAATCGTCATTTCATTTCGAATTCAATTACAAAAAAAAATAGTTGCCTAAATTTACACAAAATTGAAAAAGTACTATAGTCACAGTCTAAACGCAGTTGCAAATAATTTCAATAGTTTTCACAATTGGAATGTGCTGCTTCACCCATAAACAGTCTAACGCACTTGGGTAAACATTTGTACTAGAGGGCGCTTAGACTGTGCTAGCCTGGGTAATTTTTTGATTTGAATTTTTAATCCAAAAACAAAAATATTTTATGGAAAATAAAAAAAGATGTAATTTTTTAACTTCCCTTTAGCTTAATAGTAATCGCCAAAAAACGAAAATGAAAATTTTATATATCTTTACGTTTCAAAACCTTCTGAACATTTTGCCATACCTCAGAAAAAATGGATTTTGTGTGTGTGTATGTGTCTGCAGATACAAATTTTTCGTCGACGATTTTGGGAACACGGATGTAAGCGATTTGAATAATTAAAAAAACATTCGATCGTATTGATAGGAGACCTGCTTATAGTGTTTGGCGAAGGCGGTCTAGTCGTTCCGAAGATATATTTATTTGGCAAAAAGTGCAAAAACGGTAACTCATTTTTAAGAAAGCGGAGCGTCCGATTTGAATAATTCAAAAAAGCGTTTTACTTGTATTGACAAGATGAAGAACTGTTCAAGTTTTCATGAAAGCAGGTCTAGCGGTTTCGGAGATCTAGTGAAAAAAGTAAAAAACAAATGCCATTGGGCGGTCAAAAATGATCATTAGACATATGCACATCAAATTATCAATATTTTATACAGATTTCAATAATAAGTATGAATTTTCTTTACATTCCTATGGGTTCCGTACCAATGTTTTGCGTTAGACGATGACGCGGCGCTTACGCGCTTCCATATTTCGTCTCTATGCAGTTAAAGCAGTTCGATTGCTTTGAAAAAAAGTTCAGAATTTCTAAAATATTTCAAAATAAATTTTTCTTCAAAAAGTCTTTTTTTTCAAAAAAAGTAAATTTTTATCAAAAATAATTTTTTACGGGAAGTTCCAGCAATTTGCCTTAAGGCACTTATTGTGCCTCACAAGTTTGTCAATACAAATGTATAAAATTTGAAAAGTATTAGATATCGGTTTGGATTTATAAAAAAATATATGATGAATTTCACAAGATGGAAAATTTAAGTTTTTTGGAAATCTCACTGAAAAATTCTGCAGTTCCATTTAAAATAGAAAGTAAATGTGTTCGTGTTTCGAATAGATATAAATTGTAATCTTTGGTAGACATTTCCATTTACATATAGATGATGACGGAAATTTCAGCCTCAAAAGGTTTTGCCAATCAATAAATAAGGACCTCGTCCGCACGCAATTCTGAAAATAATACCGAAAAGATAAAGGAGAAGTCCTTCATATAAATTCACTCTTTACTATAAGCTGTACAACTGGT